GAGTCAAGGAGGCCATTTACGTGAAAAGGGAAAGACCATCTCTGAATCAAGGAGGGGGCCTGAGAGCTGAATTTTCTTATCGTTTACCTGAGTTCAAGTTTGCAACCCCCCATTCATCTTGCCTGAGACACCTTTGTTCTGGCCCCGTGGAGGAGGCCGCAAACGCCGACGCAGAAGATCCAACGTTCTGGTTCGACTGAGATGGCCCACTAACAGACCACCGCTCTCCAGTTTATTACAGGCTATTGTGCAGTTTCTGGAGACCAAGCTGTGCGAATTTCGGACACGGATCTCATTCCAGTGAGAGATGCGGGATTGCTGCGTGATCTTCCTCAAAGAAACCTGGCTATCGGACTCCGCCATACAACTACCGGGGTTCCGGGCAGCGCATTGGTCACAGGAGCAAACTGAGAAAGGCAGAGGCGGTGGTGTGTGCATCAACAACAGCTGATGTGACTGCCCCAACGTGCACCCGGTTAACTCCTTCTGCTCACTGGACCTGGAGTACCTGATGATTAAGTGCTGGCCATTCTGGCTACAGAGAGGATTTACAGCAGTCATTATTATGGCTGTTTACATCCCCCCACAAGCCGACACTGATCGAACATGCAGAGAACTGTACAGCGCGATTAGCAGTAAGGAAACCGCACACCCAGAGGCGGCGTTTATACCGTTGGTCGGACCAATCAAAGTCCATGTTGTGGGACTGTTTTGATAACGCGGACTGGGGAATGTTTCACATGGCTGCTGACAACATCAATGAGGACACAAACTCAGTCTACGGATTTATCAGAAAATGCGTGGAAGATGTCGTCCCACCCAGAACAGTTAAAAGTCTACCCAAATCAAAAACCATGGATTAAGAGTGATGTTTGCACTGCACTGGCGGCAGGGAACACTGCTTTTGCCTCCGCGAACACATCGGACTACAAACACGCAAATTACCAACTCATTAAAGCAGCCAAACGGGAGTACAGGGACAAAGTGGAACAGCAATTTCACAATCGTGGGAGAATGTGCCAGGGACTAAACACATTCACAGACTAAAGAGGGGAAAATCAGCACACCACGGCCTCTGTGTGAGGATCTAAACGTATTCTACGCTAGATTCGACACAGCGAACACCACGAGACCGGACAGTGTACGCATTGGTGGGGAGAGAGCGGAGGGAACACACACAGCAAGGGGCCACCTCTGCAAAACATTATTTGTAAAAATGAAAGATTCACTCATCCCTGTTCTCTCTGCATTAAATTATCCCAAGATCAAGTTGTTTCATAAAAATGTGATATTAAAAAAACATTTTTAGAAATGTAGAGGACATACACTCATTGTAATATGTGAAGATGCGAAACATTGCCCTTTCCACTGGTCTACTTGCAGTACCTCACATGAAAACCAAAGGCTGCATGGCAATGGCATACTTTACCTCTCTGAAGTCCTGCTCAAAGTGACGCAACTGTAGGCACTGCTCCAGTTTGAGATGGTGTTTGCTCCAGAACTGTTCAAAGGCATTTTCTGTCTCATCTAGCTGGGCCAAAAGCCTAAAACACAGATTACAAATGTAATGAGAATTGGTACATAATTGCTCAAAATACATAACAATATACAGTGTGCATGACATCTATAAAGGAGTCTTTGTTGTTTGTCACCTTTCCACAGTAGTTTGGTTTTCCATCTCATCAGGGTTGAGTTCATGATCCTCTGACTTGGCTGACTGATCTTTTATACAACTATACAAGGTGGTGCCTTGCTTCACAGCTAGCCTCAGTTCATCCTGATTCACAGAAACAGAAGCATTAATATCACAGAACATTAATATCATAGAGAAACTTTTGCAAATCTGTGCAAGTTCCTATTTCAGCAGAAATATCCAAGTACATGTAGTAGAGGAATTAAAGACATCTACACTTTTGCATTTAAAGCTGATATTTGAAGTAGGTCAAGTCAGTCACGTAGAATATTCCAAGGCTGGAGCCTATCCCAGCTGTCTTAGAGCGAGAGGCAGAGTACAGCCTAGACAGGTCGCCAGTCTGTTGCAGGGCTAACAGCAAATTGCACTCACATTTACTCCTGCATTCACACTTATGGGCAATTTAGTGTTTCCAATTAACCTAACCCCACTAACTGCATGTCTTTGGACTGTGGGAGGAAGCCGGAGAACCCGGGAGAACATGCAAACTCCACACAGAAAGACCATGG